ATATTGACATTGTTAAGGATTTCATTTTACTTGGATCCACAATCAACACCCATGGAAGCAGCAGTTAGGAAATCAAACGACGTATTGCATTGGGCAAATCTGCTGCAAAAGACTTCTTTGAAGTGTTAAAAAGCAAAGATGTCACTTTGAGCACTAAGGTGTGCCTGACCCAAGCCATGGTATTTTCAATCGCCTCATATGCATGCAGAAGCTGGACAATGAATAAAGAAGACTAGAGAAGAATTGATGGCTTTGAATTATGGTGTTGGTGAAAAATACTGAATATACCATGGACTGCCAGAAGAACAAACAAATCTGTCTTGGAAGAAGTACAGCCCATAATGCTCCTTAAAAGCGAGGATGGTGAAACCTCTCACATAGTTTGGACATGTTATCAGGAAGGACCATTTCCTGGAGAAGGACATCATGCTTGGTAAAGTGGAGGGTAAGCGAAAAAGAGGAAGACCCTTGAAGAGATGGACTGACACGGTGGCTGCAACAATGGGCTCAAACATAGCAATGATCGTGAGAATGGTGCAGGACCAGGAAGTGTTTCATTCTGTTGTACATAAGGTCACTACAAGTTGGAACGAACTGGATACCACTTAACAACAACAAATATATATATATATGTATGATTATGTATAATGGTAAGATACATATATGAAGCCCTGATGGCACAGTAGTAAAAAGCTCAGCTGCTAACCAAAAGGTTGGGAGTTCAAATCCACCAGTTGCTCCTTGGAAACATTATGGGGTAGTTCTACTCCATCCTATAGGTTTGCTATGACGGCAACAGGTTTGCTTTGGTTTTTTCGTGTGTATTTATATACCAGTATATATAAGAATCACAAAATATGGCTTCCAAAAAGATGTTTAGGGAAGCCAAGGAAATAATATTCAAAATTTCCCTTTGAACTAAAATGAAGTCCCCTGTCTCACTAACTAATGTCACATTTTCTCTTAGTTAACTCCATATTCTTCCTCTGTCAGGACTCACATGATCACGGTATTGTGAGAATCCAAACATTTCCCTATAACAGAAACTCTTGAAGTCTCTGAAGACAAAAACATTTCCAGGAAACTAATTAGGAAGAAGAAGGAACTCCTCTGTATGACCAATGGCTAGTTCCCATGGCTGACTTAGAAAACTTCAACTCAACCTCTTGATTGGAAGAAAATATTATAATTTCCTTTCCCTGAAAACAGATTACGTGTCTAAAATTATAACTTAGTGAATGATGAAAAGAAAAAACTGGTGAAGAGAAAATGATTTAAGATAATATATGTTACCTTATTTATTGTTCTCCATTATGTATACAGTTAAAGCTTTAAAAAAAACCATTGACCATACATCCACTTTGTCATTAAAAGAGGCCTTTACCAACCTCATGATCTGAGATGCTCACCTGGACAGTCACCATTATAATTTTTAGAATTTGTATGGCAAGTTTCCATGGTTTTCTACCTCGAGCCCAGAACTTCTCACAAGGATTCATGAAAAAAAATTTGAGTTTTCGCCTCATCTGGTCTTCTAACAGAAGCTCCTCAGAGACAGATGTACGCTGCTCCAGTTTGCACCGATCTTCCTCTTCATGAAAGTTGCATCTACTTACAATTACCTCAGGATCTGCCATATCTAGGGAGGGATAAAAACAGTTTCCATTCAGTGAGTAAAGGCACAAGTCCATATTCTTTGCTATTGCAGGATAGTTGAAGAGGCCCAAACAAAAGATTTGGTTTCAAATAAATACCATTGTTCTAAACTGCATTTTAGAAGCTTACAGAATAAATGAGAATGTAAAACATCATCTTCCTGTTTGTTTCTGTTACGAAGTGAATCGTCATTGAGATGAAAATTACCAAATTCAAGGGCTGCTCCTATTAGTAAAAGAATATATGTATGCATGTGTGTGTTTATATATATAGTGTGTACGTGTTTTTTGTTTTTGCTTTTGTTTTTACCTCATTCAGTAACAGATTTAGTTAGAGCAGAGCTTGTTGACGTGAGGGCCTGGGTAAGAGCTTCAAAGGGTTGGAGGACCCTGAAATTATATGCAAAATTTTATGGATATGTGGATATGGGCATTTTTCCTGGAGAAAGACTAAAACTTCCCTCAGACTATCAAAAAAAAAAAAAGGTTTAAAACCACTGAGTTCAAGGTAGCCAGGTATAGTGCTTTGAGAATTAAAGTGTGCCTGACCCAAGCCATAGTATTTTCAATCGCCTCATATGCAATCGAAAGCTGGACAATGAATAAGGAAGATCAAAAAAGAATTGATGCATCTGAAGTATAGTGTTGGTGAAGAATATTGAATATACCATGGACTCCAGAAGAAAGAACAAATCTGTCTTGGAAGAAGTACAGCCAGAATGGTCCTTAGAAGCGAGGATGACAAGACTTCATCTCATGTATTTTGGACATGTTATCAGGAGGGACCAGTCCCTGGAGAAGGATATAATGCTTGGTAAAGCAGAGGGTCAGCAAAAAAGAGGAAGACCCTCTACAAGATGGATTGACACAGTGGCTACAACAATCAGCTCAAACATAGCAACGACTGTGAGGATTGTAAGGAGTGTTCTGTTCTGTTGTACGCAGGGTCACTAGGAGGCAGAATGGACTCCACAGCACCTGACAGCAACAACATGAATGATGGAGAGAACTAAGATCTGATTTGGTTTCTAATCCGGGTTCCACTCCTTGACACTTGTGTGTCCTTCGGCAAGTCACTTAGCCTATCTGAGCCTCAGTATCCTCATCTACAAAATGGAATAACAATACCTACCCTCACAAGATTGTAGAGAGGATTAAATAAAAATACAAATGAAGCCCTTGCCAGGGTCTGGCACTAACGAGGCAGCCTCACTCACTCTAAGCCCCCAGCAGACAGAGTAACTACCTGCAGAACCCAGGAGATTCACAGGGGCAGCGCGAGCCTCCCAGGACTTACAGTAACTGTTCTACAAAGGAGAAGGAAGACTCACAATTGAAGTCCAAATCCCAGTCAGCCAAATCACTCGTATTTGCTTTTTGTTAAAGACCTTATGTCTGTGTAGCACATTTTACTTTCCAAAGTACTTCTCATCTATTATTTCATTTGTCTCTTTGAAGACAGTGGAGCTAGTTTTATAACATTATAAAGAAGTTATTCCAGACACTGGGACCATATCTTGGATTTTCTCTCACACTAATGCAGATAATACAGAATCTGTTCAAAAATAACATATCCCAAACCACCAGGGAGAAGAGAGTCCTTCCATACTAAAAGAAAATATATTTGATATTTTTACAGTAATTTGTATTCAGAGATGAAGGGGAAAATTTTAAACCTATAGTCATACAGTATCTGACATGTCACTCCTTAGGTGCCACATGACTTTCCAAGTCTAGAATCCTACTTTTGATTCAGGGTCAAACATTCTTTGCAAACCAAACACTTGCAAACAATAGATACTGACTATAAAAACGAGCTGGGGAAAAGCTTTTAAACACTTGATCAATGAAAAGATTAATAAGGATACTGCTTAGTGAATAAAACATAAAACATATTTTCTATATACCATATACAGTACCTATAAAATGAAATAATTATGGTAAGAATTATGGGGTAGCTTCATATGTGTGTGCTAAAATGCTTGTCAAAGTATGAACACAATATTCTTAGGTAAAAACATAAAGGAGAGAAAAACACTTATTCAACTCCAAAGATTTTCACTATTTACTGTCTTCTTCAAAAAGGTATGACATTTTAACTAGCATTAAAGGAAACTTTATCTATGGGACTTAACACGAAAACTAACTAGTATATACAACTAACATAATAAGGAAGCAGTTAATAATGATGAGGCTCTTAAAGCATGTTGGTGAATTACAGATTGGCAGTCACATTAAGCTCTTTCCGTCTTGATACAGTGAAAATTAAATTTTAAACTAGCCACACGCCGTGTAACCTTAACCCACAGGAAAAAAGAAAATGAACCAACCACCACTAATTTATTCAGCGCATCCTACCAAGTTGTCCCGTAAGCAAGACATTTCGTTTATTACGACTAACCGCTAAATTTGGGGCAAACGTTAGCTTTACCACAAAGCTAACCACCCTTCCGAAGATGCACTTTAAAAACTGCAAACTGTCGGTACCCCTAGCTGTTCCAGGAGTTTTCGCTAACACCCCTTCTTCAAACTCACCCGGCAGCGTTGGCGTGCACCATGCGGGTTTGGTTAAGACGCCGATCAGGAGAGAGTCTATCCGAGGTATTAGGAGTACTCTTAGAGCCGACACGCTAACACACAGGTTTTGTGCGGCGGTCAGAGTCTTAACTGGATTCAGCGGCAGAAAATTAGAGAAGCCAGGGAATATATGTAAATTATAAAAGCCTCACAGATGAAGACAAAATAAGGCAACCTCGTTTCTTCAGAGGCTCAAAACTTCAGTCTCCTTGCTTCCTTTTTTTTTTTTTTTTTTTTTTTCTTCTTTGTTGTTTTTAAATAAGCATTCAGACTGTCAGGCTGGTATTTCGTGCAGGAGTGGAGGCTGCAGCAATTATTCAGAAAGGTCTGCCTGCAACACCGCCCCTTCATCCCCAGGCACTGCCCCAGTCCTTTGTCGTTGTTGTTAGCTGCCCTCCAGTTGATTTCCGACTCATGGAGATCCCATGTGTGCAGAGTAGAACTGCCCCATAGGGTTTTCAAAGCTGTGACCTTTCGGAAGCAGATCACCAAGCCTTTCTTCCAAGGCGCCTCCGGTGGGTTTGAACAACCAACGTTTGGGTTAGTTGTTGTTAGGTGCCGTGGAGTCGGTTCCGACTCATAGCGACCCTCTAGGACGGAGTAAAACTGCCCCCGTAGGGTTTCCAAGGAGCGGCTGGTGGGTTTGAACTGCTGATCTCTTGGCTAACAGCCGAACTCTTAACCACTATGTCACCAGGGTTAGTAGTCAGTGCTTAACCACTTGGGCCACCCAGGGCCCAGCCAGGGCCGGCTGCAAGCTGGTTTCAATCAGCGCAGGGACCCTGGTTTATCTGCCCTACACGTCTCTAATAAACTGACAGTCCGAGTTCAGAGAGGCTGGCTGAGCAACTTCAAAAACAGTTCCGGACCCCCCGGCAGGAACCCAAATGGCCGGCCCGCCACAGTCCTTCTAGGGCAGACTCTATATTAAGGGTGGCTTCCTGATCTCGGATCCTCGCCTCAGGCTCCGGGTGGGCGGCAGCCCACCCAGCAGCTTCAGTCGGTGGCTACCCCGGGCGTGGGGCGCGCTCGCCCAGCGCCGCCTCTTCCCTCCCCGCCCTGCGCCACGCCCCCCAGCCGGCGCGCACCCACACTGACCTTCGGCCGGCGCCTGAGCCCCGGCTGTGTGGAAAACCTGCATCTCGCACCCTGGTTCCACCTGACTCCCTTGCATGGCGCCGAAGTCCAGGGACCCCGACCCTCCCGCTTTGTATCACCGACGGCTCGCGACATCGCGGTCCCTCCCTGCGCGCCCCGGGCGCCGTTCCCACGACACCTGATGCCTCCCGGCGGTGCTCGTCGCGGCTCGGGTCGCCTAGGCTCACCTGCGGCCCCCGGAGAGCGGAGAGGGCGCGGGTACCGGGCACCCGAGAGACCCGCGGAAGCAGCGTCAGCCTGGGCGGCGGGGGAGGCGTCAGGTGTTCTTCTCAGCAGCTGGGGGACGCGGCATTTCAGCGCACGCTCCCGCAGCCGCTGAGGCTCTGCTCAGCCCCGGAGTTCAACGTGAGCCCGGCTGCCGCGAGTCGCCGCCGGTGGCATCCTCCCACCCTTGGAGGCTTTAACTCGTGACCCTCCTTTCCATTTCTCTGGTTCCATTCCACGCCCCTTCTGGGGCCGCCTTTCCGGAGGGCAGGTGGGGCGAAGAGCCCGTCCGAATGAACTTGGTGCTGTCCTCGCTCTCTGGGCATGCCCCACCCCATCACGCCCCTCACCCTCCCCATAAACAACCCGTTTAACACTACTCGAAAAAGGGGAGGCTGCAGCGATTATCTCTAGTTGCTCACGAGAGGCAAGGGTAGTCTATCCTCAGTCCTGGAGCGGTGGCGCCGGGAGGTGTAAGTGCAAGGGCTCGGGCTTCAGACCGGCCAAGGGGCCACCCCGTCTTGGCCTGTTCGCCTAGAGGCTGAGTCTTCTTGGGTGGCTGTGGGGATTAAATGAGATAATGATGTCAAATTCCTGGCTCCCAGCGAGTGCTCAGTCCTCTGTTGCTGCCTTTCATTCTGATTTTTGCAGTCAAGGTGAAATCTTGAAGTGTAAGACTGTTTTCAAACTTTGAGCCCTGTACCCTCTCTAAACAAACAAACGAACAAAAATCCAAACCAGTTGCCATGGAATCAGTTCTGACTCACGGGGAACCCACGTGTGCAGAGGAGAGCTGTGTTCCATCGGTTTTTCAAGGTTGTGACCTTTCTGAAGCAGATTGCCAGGCCTTTCTTCTGAGGCACTTCTTGGTGGGTTTGAAGTTAGTCGTCATGTGCTTAACCGTTTGCACCAAGCAGGGTCTACCATACCCTCTCTAAGCCTTCTAATATCAAAGGATTTCTATGAAATTAGTGAACTGTTGACTAGAGTCTTTTCTAGATTGAGTGCTGGAATAGAAAGTGCCCTGGAAAAGCTCTTAGGAAAAAAAAAAGTGAATAGAAATACCTGTAGGCCTCAGAACAGTAACCTTTTCCTTAATGCGTTCTTTTTAAAAATTAAACCTTAGTTTATTCCTTATCAGGAGTGGATCCAGAACTTTGATTAATTTTAATTACAACCACTTTGGATTTGCTTGTTTTAATTTATTGTTAGTATTTTGGCCATGAGTCAGTTTGTAAAGGTCAATAAATTTCTATAACAGGGTGTTCCTGAAATTATATCAAGAGCTGTGAGACCGTTTACAAAACTTTTTCAAATTCTAAACCCAGTTTGTATGGCTAATGTATAAATGGAAATATCTTTCCTTGCAATGGGGTACAAGAAATGTATGACGTTTGTTAACCTGAATCCCAAGTTCTTTG